AAAAAAAAGAAAAACTTGACTCACTTTTTGCACGATGTGCAGACCCGTGCAGCGTTGTGGCTGAGTACAACCCCAGAACACAATGGACAAACAAGTCCTACTCCCATTTGCATTGCTCCACCAACCCCAGAACATGTATCGCATACTTCCGTAGCTCCACCACCCAAGAAGCCACTACCGCATTCGATACACTGTAATAGAGAAGTTCTAAAGAAGGAAAGACGAATGAAGGAAAGTCGTAAGCTGTTAATGACGAACCATTCGGGTTTCTAACTTGGTTTCAAGCATCTTCATTTCTCCGTTTTCAGAACTGTCAATGCAACCATTCGCTGATATTTTGGCAAGATTGTCCTTCCTGAAAAATTAGAATGATGGATGCGAATATAAACGTTTCAAAATGAAAGGCATCATTTTAGATGAAAAAGATACAAAGTAAAAAAGATAAATATAAAGATAAAAGAAGATAAAGAAATAAAAGTAAGGCCAATATTATGCTGCAGCAAAATGACCAACTAGGATGTAAGAGCCGAGAAAAATGAAATTTTCAAATTTATATTGTTAAATGCAAGAGCATAACTATAAACTTCGTAAACTTACGCTAATCTCGTTGCGAAGGCGTCAAGCCGTAAAGACTTTTGTTGTTTTGACGATAAAACGAGAGAATGATCTCCGTTCATAACCAATAGTTAACAAATCATCATTCCACTTGTGCTCTCTTCCTGTTAGTTCAAATCTGGAAGAAATATACATCGTAACGTTCAAATTCATCCATAAAAGTCAAAAGGGGACGTGGAAAAGAGCAAGTAAATTGAAGATACGGACTTAATGCTATAATTTCAAATCTGCAGATCAGCAAGAGCTGAACGAAAGGTACTAAAATGACGAGCATATTCTTACATTTTCGGACCACAAAAAAATCTAAGAAAATGTGAATAAGCGGAAGAAAATCAGTTGGGTGTACTGACATAATGTCACATTCCCAAATCCACATTTTTGAAGATCGCCAAGCGAAAACGTAACGAAAAGGTTTTATAAATTACAAATTACAAATACTCTTTGGGAAGACAAATGTATTATTCAAAAGCTCTACCAGCAACAAGTTGAGCGAAAAATTCTTCAAAAAA